CTCTTGAGAGAAGAAGAAGAGATTGGATTTATACCCTGCCCTTCACTACCCAAAGGAGTCTCAGAGCGGCTTAAAAACTCCTTTCCCTTCCCCTCCCCACAACAGACACCCTGTGAGGTGGGTGGGGCTGAGAGAGCTCTGACAGAAACTGCTCTTTTTCAAGGACATCTCTTATCAGAGCTACGGCTTGCCCAAGGTCATCCAGCCAGGTGCAAGTGGAGGAGTGGGGAATCAAACCCGGTTCTCCCAGATTAGAGTCCGCGCACTCAACCACGACACCAAACTACACCAAACTTCATTTCCCTCCTGAGAGTTCCGGCACCTCCCCCCCCCCGTTTACTTGAACTTTATGATTGGTTCCTTTTCCTGAGGACCCCAAATCCCACAAGGGATGGTAGAAACAGCTAACCACTGTCAGCACTCTCAGACTAGGACTGCCTGAATTTTGGTGGCTGGAGGGGGGAGCCCTGGCAGTCAATATCAGTGCAGGGTCGATGTGGCCGTAGGGCAGAAATTCGATATTTTTGAAGTATTATCTACATATTTTACAGGTGGTCTCAACGGAAGACAATCTTGGTTGGGGCAGGGATTGGTCTTACACAAATTTGTGTCTGCCTTGCCTGGGGGGAGGGGTGCTTTCACACACACACACACAGAAAGCAACAGACTTTCAGTCCACTTTGCAACTGGATTTGACTGTGCCATTAGGCAAAAATCCACTTGCAAACGGTTGCTAGAGTGGGCTGAAATGGCCTTGTTTGGCATCTGTGAAAGCGCCTTACGTGTGCTGTTCACGAACCCCGACCTGGGTGGCCCAGGCTAGCCTGATTTCATCAGACCTTAGAAGGTAAGCAGGGCTGACTCTGGTTGGTGCTTGGATGGGAGACCAACAAGGAATACCAGGGTTGCGAGGCAGAGGCAGGCAACAACAAACCGCCTCTGAACAGCTCTTGCCCAACATTCCCTCTAAGCTGTTAGTGTGGGCCAGCTCACAGTTTTTTAGCCTCTGGCTCACACATTTTCGTCTTCACTCAGGAAGGATGGCTAATTTATGAGGTGGCCAAATTGCTTGCTTGCTGACAACTCCACAGCTTAGAGGGAGCATTGGGCTTGCCTTGAAAACCCTACTAGGGTTGCCAAGTCCAAAATTACTTACCGCGGGGGAGTCCCGTGCCGTCCTGGGAGTCCGTGCGCGCGCCACCACGATGACGCCACCCGGAAGTGATGTCATTGTGTCGGCACGTTGGGGGCAGGGCCACTAGGATTCGAGGGAAAACCATAGAGTTTTCCCTCAAATCATAGAGCGTCCTGCCCCCAATGTGGCCAGCGTGATGGGGGGTAGGGTTGCCAAATATTTTTTGGCCAGGAGCGGGGGGCTCCCGGCTGGCTTCTTGGGCGTGCGTGCGCGCGTAGCACGCGTGCGCGTCACCCGGAAGTGATGTCGCACGCTGGGGGCGGGGCCACACCATTGTTTTCTCCTCAAATGGCGTGGCCCTTCCCCCAGCATGCGATGTCACTTCCGGGTGACGCGCACGCAGGGGTGGGGTTTCCCCCGGGCCCCGATTCTGCGGGAGCGGAACCTGGGGCTCGAATGCGGGGGGAATTCCACCCCCCGGGGGCATTTGGCAGCCCTAGAAGGGGGTGGAGTTCCCCCCGGGGCCTGATTTGCTGGCATCGGGTAACGGGCCTCTCAGGCGGGGGTTTACCCGCCCCCCCGAGGGGACTTGGCAAGCCTAAACCCTACGGTGTTGTCATATGTCAGCTGTGACCTGATGGCCCTTTCCACCACCAAGCATTGACTGTCCCGGGGAACAAAGCCAAGAAGCAAGACCTTTTCTTGTTAACCTCTAAAAGTAAGGGTGGATTCCTGTTTTATTTGGCTCCTCCCACTGAAATTGCAGTGTGCCAGTCAGCCAACCCTAGTGAAGCGACTAGGAGATGAAGTGTGGACTGCGGGGAAGGTCACTGGAGCAAACGTTGTTGCCATATGATGGTCAGTTAAAAAGAAGGGGAGCCACACAACATTTCTCACAATTAGATCTGAGTCCAGTAACACCTTAGAAACCAGGCCCACAACTACGGTGGGGCTTTTGGGGGCTCTGCTCCCCCTTTTAAAGGCACAGGCCCACAAGAACGTCTCCTGTAAATGTCCCCCCCCCCAATCAATTTAAAACATTGTTTAAAAGGCATGTGCTCCTTTAAGCAGAGTGGGATGCTGTAGTTGACTAATTCCTGCACTGAGCAAGGGGGTTGGAGTAGGTGACCTCTAGGATCTCTTTGAACTCTAGGTCAAGTAACTGGTCTCCTTTGAGTTTTTCTGCCTGTTAGCTTTCCTGACGGTAGAAGTCATCGCCCCCACCTGCCGGCTTGTTCTCAGAATTGTTGCTCAGGCTGGCAGAAGTGATTAACTTGCAGCCGCTGAGAACTGTCACCTAAAATGGTTGACAGCTCGCAATTGAGAGATCTATCCTGGTAACGGCTTTCCGTTGGCTAAATAGCTTTTCTTTCTGCACTGAGAACTTCAGGCTCACCGGGGGGGGGGAATTGCCCCACAAGCCACAAAATCCTGGCTATGGGTTGTAACTCTCTGGTGCTACTGGACTCCGATCTAGCTGTTCTGTGGCAGACCGACATGGCTGCCTACTGTAACATTTCTTGCAGTGATCCACTGTCGGCATAGGGCTGCTCAGTAATCCCACACGGGCAGCTCTGTCTGCTCCTGGTGACATTAAAACAGACCAGCAAGTTATTAGTCACATTGTCGAGTGCTTCTAGCCCTTCCATATCACCCACCAAAAAGGAGCCAATGCCAAACTGATCCCCAGTCCCAACGGCTCCAGGACACTGTTAGCAAGAGCTCTGCACTATATCTAGGCTAGGGGAATGGTATTGATCTACCCTGACAGTTCAAGCGTCCAAAGCCCCCTGGGGATAATACCATTCTAAACAGAATGGCTTTTCCACCTTGTTGTTTCTTGCAGGGGTGCATATAAATGTTTCTGCTCTCAAGGAAGTTACTCTGTGCGGCAGCAGGCAGCGGGGTACAAGACCAGGCCTGCATTATCGTAGATGGCCTTGTCTTTTATTGATGGATTTTTGGACGCACAGATCGTAAAAATCAAGGACAGTTTTACAGCTTTGCACTGCTGAGGTCTCATCCACAGCGGGCGAGGGTCTCCAGGCCCTATGCAGACATCTTTTAAGCAAGGCCGGCCAAAGTAAAATGGCTGTAAATTATATTTATGTAGGCATGTCCGACCACCACTTCACAGAGCCTACAAGGACAATTAACATTCCCAACTTTTGGACCAAAGGTAAGGGCTTCCTATATTGATTTTTGTTTATCCAGGTTGCGCCAAATGTTCTTCTGTCTCAGCGAAGGCAGAAGGTAAATGTCTGCCTCCAGGTGGTACTTGGGGATCCCCCGGAATCACAGCTCATCTCCAGATTACAGAGACCAGTTTCCCTGGAGAAAATGGATGCTTTTTTGGGGGTGTGTGGACTCTCTGGCATTGTACCCCACTGAGGCGCCTGTCCTCCCCAGGTAGGGTTGCTAGACCTCCCAGTTAGGGTTGCCAGCCTCCTGGTGGGGCCTGGGGGTCTCCCGCTTTTACACCTGATCTCCAGCCGACAGAGATCAGCTCCCCTGGAGAAAATGGCTGCTTGGAAGGGTGCTCTATGACATTGTGGCTCCACCCCCAAAGTCTCCAGGTATTTTCCAGTCCAGACCTGGCAACCCTACTCCTAGTGGAGGTGGGCTTCCCCGCTAACAGGCCCCACCTCCCCGCCGCCAATCAGCTGGCCAGCAGGGAGGGGAACTTACCCCCCAAAAAAGAGGGAGATCTATCCAGTGTGTAGTGACATGTCTGCATCCCTGCCCACGTGACCCAGAAGCAATGTGCCCTCTAAGCTGTGGAGTCCTGTGAGCAAAGATTCTACTTTGTGAGCGACTCGCATTAAAGTTGTGAGCGAGCGATTTGGCTACTGCATGAATTAGTTTCCTTTGGAGCCATCCTTCCGAGGTTAAAAAAACCCTGTGAGCTAGCTCACACTAACTCAGTTTAGAGGGAACACTGGTTCTATGTACTTGAAGTGCCCAGAACCCTACATTTTGGAACCCCCACTCTGTTCAGTCATGGAAAGCAAACAAGATCAGGCGTCATGTATGCCTCCTGAGCGACTCGCGCTATTTTGGGAAGAGGTTGAGGTTCTCATTCAGACTGTTCAGTAGAGTTAGAGTTTGGACTCCTTGTCACAGACGGCCCCAGTATGGTGGTCTTAGAACATCCATCATGTCTCAACCACTCTGGTTTTTGAGGTCCTCAAGCTTTCCCTCTGCACGTGGAAGCGACGCTCAGTATTCCTAAAAGGCCAGATTGGTGGAGATTTTGGAGGTCACACCGCCTATATCTGCGGATCTTGCCTGCTGGAATTGTTTATGCCGCTGGAGTCACAACATTCTGGCCTCCTCTTTTGCAAGCCTTCATGGAAAATTTCATGAACTTTCAGTTTAAAAGAGGAGGAGGAATCAAAGGTGTGTGTGTGTGTGGCGGGGGAGAGAGTAGAGAGATGGTTTTTCCTGGTTGAGACTGTTGGGCCTAAAACGCCCATGCCTGTTCTTTAACCTGTTCTTATACTGACATGTATGTTTTAAAAATTAAAATCCATTGCTGCATGTAGATTCCGTTGCCAGCAAATGAGCCCCTGAAGTGAATTTGCTCTTCGGGACATGCCAAAATAAACACTTATTTATGAGGGAGCAATTAAGGCAGGGATTGGTTTTAACCAGTTTAATCTTCACCTCAGGAGCGTGTCTCTCTTGCATTTCCAAAGAAAATCATCCTGTTCCAGTTACGTCTACCAGTAGCATACCCCCCAAATGTCCAAGGTGGTGTATGTTCTCCTCAACCCGCCATTCTTCCCACTCTCCAAAGCTGGGCTCCCGCTCCAAAAGCAATGAGTAATTAGAGACATTAAAATATGTGCAAGGAAAATCAGTCTAGCTGACTCTGTCCTGCAGTTGCAGAAGCTATATTTTCTTTATCTAATCTCAGAATTGGAAGGGACCACCAAAGTCACCCATTTCATAAGAATGTATGAAGAGCCCTGCTGGATAAGACCAGTGGTCTGCCTATGTCCAGCCTCCTGTCTCACACAGTGGCCAACCAGTTCCACAACGGCAAAGAGGCTGAGGCCTGACAAGAACATAAAAAGAGCCCTGCTGGGTCAGACCAGTTGTACATCTAGTCTTTGGAGCTGGACAATGAGAAAGAAACAGAGTCTTCTCAGCAGAGCTCTGTGGAACAACAGGTTTTATATCAAGACAAAGCACTAAAGGATATATTAATCTATGGAAAATGAGGCGAGGAAAAGCAACCAAATGTGTAAATGGGAAGAACCAGCAAGTTCTGCGGTAGAGCTGGAAGTAGTGAAAGGAGTCCCTCAGGATCTTTCACACAAAAAAATGATTAAGTTGGATAAAAAGAAGCTAAAACACTGTGTTAAGAGAACTTACAAGGCTAACAAATATTCAAAGATGAGTTTGCTGAAATACAGAAGGAAGAAACTAGAAACGAGGATTTACAAAACCAAGAAATTAGAAACAAGGATTTACAAATACAAAGCCAAATTAGGCTTGAGGAAATACAAACAGGAGAAGCTGGAAATAAAGATTCATGTGTACAAAGACGAAAGGCACCTGGATTAGTCTAAGTTACCAACATTACAAGCCTATTTAAGTGTGGTTAAGTGTGGGCTGAATGGCGCAACCGTTGGATGGATTCATGGTACCAAACTGTAGGGCTATCTTTCAGCTATGCGCCTGCAGAGTGCAGGGGGTTGGACTAGATGACCTGCAAGGTACCTTCCAACTCTAACATTCTATGATTCTATGGGCATGATAGTAAAAAAAAAGGTGCAAAGAAAAAATAGGAGACAGAAAATGTGTAAAATGATAACTGGTGCTTTAAATTATTCCTTTTTTGTTTACATTTTCACTTAAGTATATCTACCATAGTCTGTATTTTGAGTCTAAGATAATGAGAAGTTGGATGTTAGTTATGATGAATTGAGATGATTATGTTGAAAATCTTAGAACATGATGATGAGAATTTTGGGTTAAATCAAACGTGTACCTTCCTTTATTGTTTATTTTTTAAAAATAATATATATAATATGAAAGAAGTGAATGGTAGTATTTATATTCACAGTAATAAGTAGGAAGGTTAATTA